CTCTGGGTGGACAGATGCTCAGGTGTCTGGAGGGTGTCACTGGTTCTCATTCTCTGCTTTCTGTCAGTTTTTCTTCCCGACTACTGGTCTCGATGACCAGGTGTAGCCCTGGCTCGCCACGGGGACAGAAGCTTCCTGTAGACCTCTCTAGAAGCTCCCTTTGCCATCTGTCTCTGGCGGTTGGAGACACTTCCTCAGGGTTCCTGCAAGCTCCACCGACCAGGACTAGCAGGGACACTTCTCTGGTCCTCTTACTCCCTCTTTTGGACTTCTGCTTCCCTAGCTCCTCTCAGAGCTGTAGGAGGTCTGTTTCCCACGGTGACTCTCTGGTCCTTTCGTGTTCACCACGAAATGTTTCTGACTCTGCTTCTGTTTCTGACTCTGTTTCGATCATGACTCTGCTTCCCTCGCTGAACCCTAAGTGACTCATGTAGTAAATGCCTGGGACAACCATGAGTTAAGACAGCTTGTAGCAGGAAGTCCTCGACTAGTTTGGGGGTTGGAGACGGTTTACCAGCGAGATGACATTTTACATGAGTCCGAAGGGAATTGAGGGGTTGTGGGAGTAAGTGTTTTCTGTGGCTTGGCTCACTCAACACTTATTCCAGCCTCCTGGTATCTCTAGCTGGAGGTGAGAAGGCCAAACACAGAATACCCTCTCTCTTTCTCATTTTTTAAATAGCCTTTAGTTTTTTAGAGCAAGGAGGTTCAAAGTAAAATTGAGCTGAGAGTACAGAGAGTACTTTGCCCAAAATGTACAGCCTTCTCCACCACCAACATCTCTCACCAGTGTGGCGCCTCTGTTATAATCAGTGAGCCAACGTTGGCATGTCATTATCAAAGAAAGCCCATACTTTATGTTAGGGTTCACTCTTGGTGCTGTGTATTCCATGGGTTTTGACAAATGTGTAAGGACATGTATCCACTCTTATAGTACCGTACAGAGTAGTTTCACCTCCCTAAAAATCCCATGTGAAATCTTGTGATCAATCCCCTATTCATCCCTCCCGCCCCACAAACCTCTGACAACCCTGATCTTTTTGTCGTCTCCATATTGGCAGACTCTGCAAATCAAGGATTTCCTTCTCTGCCACAAGAGTTGGTTGTTAAACTATTTTTGAGCGCACTACTGCCTCACACTCACTTTCTATTGAATCGTCTCTGTTGGTCTGTTACTTTAGTTATGACTTTTATGTACCAGAGTTTTTTGTTTTGTGTACAGACATAAAATTTGGCATTTTATTTTTCTTTTGATTTAATTGCTCTTATTGTTCACATTTTTCCCACTAACATAGGAAGTATGATTATTGTTATTTTTATCTGGGTAGGAATTTCTAAATTATATAAATTGTTTTTATTTTCCCAGTTATTACTATATTATTTATATATAAATTACTTTGATATCAATGATTAGATGAAGTTTTGATAGTTGATGCAATTTCATGAAAAATTATTGCAAGAATAAAATATAAGTTTATATCTAAAAATAATTGTACAGTGGATGGGATTAAGATAACATAAAAGAAATAAAAACATAAAAAAGTAAAATTAAAAACTGTACATAAATTAATTAAACCAATTCAATAAAAGAGACAATAATTTTTTTTTTTTTTGACAGAGTCTTGCTCTCTGGGTAGACCGCCGTGATGTCATCACATCTCACTGAAACCTCCAACTCTTGGACTCAAAAGATCCTCCTGCCTCAGCGTCCAAGTAGATGGGACTACAGGCATGCACCACGATGCCCAGCTAATTTTCTCTTTTTAGTAGAGACAGTGTCTCACTCTTGCTCAGGCTGGTCTTGAACTCTTTGAGCTCAAGCTATCCTCCCACCTCGGTCTTCCAGAGTGCTAGGATTGCAGGTGTGAGCCATCCACACTCGGCCAATAAGCTATTAAAACTTCTGAAAATTGACTTTTAAAAAATATCTAAAATCATAAGTGTAAGTAATAATTATATTTAGTAAATTTTTCAGAATTTAAGGAATTAAATTGATTGATATGACAGTAATCTCCTAATTTGCTTGCTTCACACTTGGAAAAGTTCCTGTCACACTTGGAAAAGTTCCTGTCATATAGTATGTACTCAAGAAATATATTTTGAAATAATGAATCAATTAAAGTCAAGAATAAATCACAGATGCTTGCTATCACCCCTGACATTCAATATTTTACTAGAAGTCTTAGCCAGTAAAATAAAACAATAAAATAAATAGGTTTAAGATTTAGGAAAAAAGACAAAATTGTCATTTGTGGGACTGTAATTTTCTTTGTAGAAAATCCAAGAGATAATTACCATTATTACAAATAAGAGAAATATGATAAAGTTGTTAAATATAAGAGCAATATATAAAAATCAAAGGCATCTCTATATATCAGCAATAATTCATTAGAAAATATAATGAAAAAAAAGGTGCCATTTGTAATAAGAACAAAAAATACAGGATTCCTAGGAAAAAATCAGAAAAATATATATGAAAACATTTATGAAGAACAATCATAAAATGTTATTGCAGAACATATAAGAAGATATAAATAAATAGAGAATAAGACCATGTCATGTTCAGAAGTGGCAAGACAAAATATCAAGTAATCTGTAAAATTCAATGCAATGCCAATAAAAATCCCAGGGGAGTTTTCATGGAACTTGAAAAAATAGTTCTAAAATTCATGTGGAAGAGTGAAGGTTTGAGAATAACTGAAACATTTCTAAAGAAGAGAGAAGAGGCACTTTGTTTAGTATATGTGAAGACTTAAAAAATCAGGCTGGGCGTGGTGGCTCATGCCTGTAATCCTAGTACTCTGGGAGGCCGAGGTGGGAGAATCACTCAAGGTCAGGAGTTCGAAACGAGCCTAAGCAAGAGCGAGACCCCGTCTCTACTATAAAATTGAAAGAAATTTATTGGCCAACTAAAAATATATTTATAAAAAAAATTATAGTAACTGGGCAGAGTGACAATAGGGCAAGTATAGAAAATTGAGTCAAAGCAACGTAAACAAAGCCTAGAAACAGATCTAAGCGTAGGTGGAAACTTATGCACTGGAGGGAAGGTTGAAATCAGAGGGGAAATGTTGGATTGTTCAACAAAAGGTGTCTCAATCATTGACCTCCCCTATGGAGAAACAAAGCTAAATTTCAGCCTCATACTACACACAAAAATAAACTCCATCCTAGCTCTCTGGGAGGCCTAGGCGGGCGGATTGCTCAAGGTCAGGAGTTCAAAACCAGCCTGAGCAAGAGCGAGACCCCGTCTCTACTATAAATAGAAAGAAATTAATTGGCCAACTAATATATATAGAAAAAATTAGCCGGGCATGGTGGCGCATGCCTGTAGTCCCAGCTACTCGGGAGGCTGAGGCAGGAGGATTGCTTGAGCCCAGGAGTTTGAGGTTGCTGTGAGCTAGGCTGACGCCACGGCACTCACTCTAGCCTGGGCAACAAAGTGAGACTCTGTCTCAAAAAAAATAAAAAAAATAAAAAATAAATAAACTCCAAATGGATAAAAGGATTAAAGTCCCTAAGTGTAAAACCTAAAAATTTAGAACCGATAGAAAGATAGATATTAAAGGAAAAAATCTTTAAGATCTCAGTATCAGGAAGGACTTTTCAAACAAGATACTAAAAGTTACAGATTAAGAATTTTTATTACATAAAAGTTAAAAGCTTTTATACCATAAAAGATACCACGAAGTTAAAAGACAATCGATATGCTTGGAGAATATATTTGCAACATATGTGGCAAAAGAATATTGTCTTGCTCTTCAATTTCTTGCCCCGAGGGCCGCATTCCCCCCACTTCCTCCTTCAATAGAGCAGAGCATGGAGGAACCAGATGCCAACAGGCCATTCGTGAAAGAGGAAGTCCAGGTCTGGCGCTGTGGCTCATGCCTGTAATCTCAGCACGTTGGCAGACTGAGGCAGGAGTATTGATTGAGGCCAGGAGTTTGAGACCAGCCTGGGCAATAGACCATCTCTACAAAAATTAATAATAATAAAAAAGTTAGCTGGACATGATGATGCAAACCCTTAGTCCCAGCTACTTGGGAGGCCAAGGTAGGAGGATCACTTGAGCCCAGGAGTTCCAGGTTATAGTGAGCTATGATGGTGTCAACTGCACTCCAGCCCGGGTGACAGAGTGAGATCCCCATTCTGAAGACAAAAGAAGAGGAAGTCCAAATGGTCACAAAGCATATGCAAAAATGCTCAGTTGGACAAACAGCCAGGGAAAATATGTTAAGACAACAACAATGTATGATTTTATACTCATCAGATTGGGAAGAATTGACAAATGTGACGTCATCAAGTATTGGCTGCAAGTGCTGCTGGGAGTGTGAACTGGGACATGCATTGAGGAAAGTATTTTGGAAACGACTAGTAAACTTGAAAATGTGCATGCCCGACTTATGTAGTATTCTCACTAAAAAGGTTCAACCTGATAATCATAAGGAAACAACAGATAAATCCAAACAGATTGAGGGTATGCTGCAAGACAACTGGCCTGGATTCAAAAGTGTCAATGTCATTTAAAAAAACAAAACAAAACAAAAAAAACCACATTAAAGAACTTTCCAGATTAAAGGAGACCAAAAAGCCACAATAACTTAATGCAATGCCCGATTCTTGTTGAATTCTGGATTGGAAATAAGCAAACAAATTAGAAATAAAAAATATTATTGGGGCGATAGGGAAAATTTGGCTGTTAGGTATTTTTAATGTGTACTAGATATAGTATTGTGTTCATGCTCTTGTCTGAAGAGCCCCCAAGTACTCAAATAGGCAAGAGATTTAAGAAAGTTCTGAGCCCGGGACTGAGGTGAGGGTTACTGCAGGCCGAAGGGATTAGCAGAGGCTTGTGGAGAGGATAAGGCTGTGACCTGAATAACTCAGGACTCAAATCCAACCCCTCTGGAATTCTCTGGATGGCTGCCCAGGCCCCTTTGGCAGGAGATCGGCCCCAGGCTCTGGGTTTTTGCAGGACTCCCTGCATATATAAAGCCAGCTGGGGGCTGAGCAGGGGCCTGCCCCGCTGGGTCCAGGCAGAAGTTTCTCCTGGTCACCTCCAGGCCTGTCTTTGTCGCTTGTTCCCATTCAGGGCTTTAAGGTCCTGGAGACTGAGGATCTGTTCCCTCCGGACCCACGGTCCGTGGGTGCCGATGTGCTGGCTGGAGGCGGGGAGCCAGCGGGGCCTGGGGTTTCCAGCTCTGCCCGAGGAGCAGGACCTGAGGCCCGGCCAAAGAGGTCAGTTACTGGCATGGGGGTTGCACACGTCGGGGAGGGATGAGCTGGCCAGAGAGGGACGGCCTGCAGAAGCTGGGGTCTGGAAAGCTCAAGAAGGGGCCCTGGGAGAGGTGGGCAGGCACAGCCTCTGTCGGGGGACTGTCCCTCGGGCTGCTGGGCTCCTTTACCCTTCACTTGTCACGCCTGGACAGTTGGTGTGGTTCTTAAGGAGGCCAGGCCACCCCGATGGGAAGGTGGAGGTGGCCGAGAAGATCATTCCTAAGCTTAGGGGCAAAGCCCAGGCAGGGATATGAATAGGGTGTGTTAGGACTTGTGTGCGTGTGTTCATCTGAAGTCTTGCCTGAATTTCTTTTTAACCCAACCCACAAGAAAATATTTCCTTTGGGAGAAGGAATTATCAACATCTACGGCACATCCCTTAACCTTTGTGAGCACCCAGTGTGTTGGTGCAGGTAGACAGAAAGCCAGAGCTGGCCCTTACAGGGAGACCTCTCTCCTCCCGTCCTCCACCTCTCTCTCTCTAGCCTGCCTTTCTGGAAAGCAGTTTAGCTTTCGGCTCAGCATATGTGGCCTTGGGAGTCAAACTGATCAGGTTCAACTCAGAGCTTTGTCACCGACCAGCTGTGTGACATGGGTGAGCCACGTCATTTTCTTTGATCTTCAGTATCCCAATTTGCAAAGTGTGTACGATAATAGTATCTGCTTCGTAGGGTTATTTTAAGGATAACATGAGGTCGGCCATGTAAAGAACTTAGCATGGAATCTGTGCTTAATAAGCATTAGCTGTTTCTATTAGTCATTCAACAGACTTTTCTTCTAGGATCTGATTGCTGCCATACAGTGTACTAGGTGCTGCCAGAGACAGAGACAGATGAGAAATTCTCAAGGCTGCACAGTCTACTACGTTCATTCATTGATGGATTCAGTGAGACAGTCAATAAATACGTATCATGCCTTCTACTGGGCGCTGGAGACATCAGCGTGAAAGACACAGTCCCTGTCCCCAGGTTGCTTGGGAAGCATTGCAGCACAATATGCTTGATGCTGTGATGAGGGACAGATGCTGGGAGGGCTCAGAGCAGAGGGACCCGGCCAGTTTGAGGAAGGGCGATGGGTTCACAGAAGACTTTCTGGCAAAGGTAGACCTAGCTTCCTTGTTTCTCCAAATCACAAGCATGCTCCTACCCCAGGGCCTTTGCACTTGCCCTTTCCTCTCTGCCTGGAGTAGTCTTCCATAAGATATCCCCCATGGCCTGCTCCTTCACCTTCATCCTAGCTTTACTCAAAATGCCACCTCCTCAGGGAGACCTTTCTTGGTCATTCTATTTAAAGTGGCTGCTCCCACCATCAACGGCCTCCTACCCTCAAGCACACACTCTCAGCACTCCGATCTCCCCCACTTTATTTTTCTCCACAGCATCTGTCACCCCCTGACAAACTACGAATTTCACTGTTTTGCTTGTCTGTTTCTGCGTTCTCCCACCAGACTGCAAGTCTGCCATGAGGGCGGAGTTCTCAACTGTGATGCCCCAGTGTCTAGAACAGAGCCTGGCACCTAATAGGTGCTCGCTAAGTAGTTTTTGAATAATAAATATGCTAAGTTGGCCGGGCTCGGTGGCTCACGCCTATAATCCTAGCACTTTGGGATGCTAAGGTGGGTGGATCCTTTGAGCTCAGGAGTTAGAGACCAGCTTGAGCAAGAGCAAGACCCTGTCTCTATTAAAAATAGAAGCAAATTAGCTGGACAACTAAAAATATATAGAAAAAATTAGCCAGGCATGGTGGCGCATGCCTGTAGTCCCAGCTACTCGGGAGGCTGAGGCAGTAGGATTGCTTAAGCCCAGGAGTTTGAGGTTGCTGTGAGCTAGGCTGATGCCACGGCACTCTAGCCTGGGCAACAGAGTGAGACTCTGTCTCAAAAAAAAAAAAATGTATGCTAAGTCTAGAAAGATGAGTAGGAATTAAGAGAAGAAAGACAAGAGAATAATGAGGGGAAGAGATTGAGAGAGACTGAGGTTGAGATCGGCGTGTTCAGGAAATGGAAAGAGTTTGCACTGGGCTTCGCCCCAGGAATGCACTGGGGAGTGGGGGGTACAAGGCCTGGCTGGAGAGGGTGAGGGGGAGCAAATCACGAAGGCCATGCTCCCGTGGGGGGAGACAGGTGCCTCTAACTTGGGCAGGATATGCTATGTGCTGTCATAGAAGTTAGGAAGATCGACCCAGGAAAAGAGGAAAGAGCCATTAACTCTGCTGCAGAGGAATCAGGGAAGGTGTCTTGAAAAGGGTAGAACCTCCCCTAGGCCCGGGGAGAGAGTTCAAATGTTAGTCTAGGAGTGATGGACGTCCTGAAGGCCTGTTCCCATTTCCCCGTCCTAACAGACAGATGCTGGATTATAAAGCCGCATGTGCAGGGACTGACGGAGTTAGCTTTGCATTTGTTTCTCAGAGTGCCCAACGGGAACTCCGCCCACAGGAATCGCTCAAGACACGTTTGCTGGGTTGGACTGGCATTGAGACAGGTGGCGTGGCCTCAAAGTGTGGGTGTCGCCTGCTCGCCAGCCGAGAACCTTGGGCACCGTCTGGGATCTTGCCAGCCAGAGGAGGAGCCTATTCTGGGGTTCCTCCCTCCTCCAAAAAAGAAGTAACATTATAGCATGGAAAAACAAGTGGGCTTTTGCCAGGTAGAAAAAGAGAGCAAAGAACATTCTAGGTGGAGGGAACAAAAGAAACAAAGACAGGAAGGCTGGTTCGTGGTGTATTTCTTCAGAGTGAGCAGTTTTAACTGATTAGACTTTTCAAAGATAAAACAAAATGTACTCGCTGTTGAGTGGGTGTTTGGATTTGCATTCTTAGCCAAAGTTTTGGCGAAAGTTGGACTTGAGCCTGTTATTGAACATTAGCTGTGATGTATGTACAAACTCTATGTATGTCGCAGACTGACGCCGAGATGGACCAGCTGTGTGCATGTTTAGAGCAAGCTGCCAGTTTACAGACTGGACAAAGCCCGGCCAGGGCAGCTGCTCCCCTCAGATTTCGCTGGTTCATCCATCCAGTCCTGCATTCCATAAATAAGTATCAGCCGCCAAAGTTGCGCTAGTTTCTCTGCTAGTGCTGATAACATAATGAAGAACAAGATGGACAAGTTTCCCGCCTTCAGAGGCTTATCTTGCAGTGGGAGGGACAGGGCACATAAACGATCGAATTAAAGAGAGCTAAAGATGGTGGCAAGTGCTATGAAGGAAAAGAGCAGGGCGACCTTGGGTGGTGGTCAGGGAAGGCCTCCTGGAAGAGGTGGCGTGTAAGGTGAGGCCTGGAGGGTATAGAATCGAGAACACCAAAACCTGCTAAGTATTCTGGGCAGGGGGAGCAGCAAGTGCAAAAGCCCTCAGTAAAAAAGCTCAGAATGTTCCAGAGCCGGCTGACGAGAGAGCACGTGTGGTCATGGAAGGGCAGACCCTGCAGGCACACCCAAATCCCACTCACCAGCTGCTGCTCTTTGCAACGTCTCTGAACTCGAGTCTGGCACGCAGCAAATGTTGGCGGGGGGCGGCGGACTTGGAGGGCAGGGGGCACAGACGATTGACAGCTCAGCTCTCTCCGTGCTACTGAGCAACTGAAGGGCTCATTTTTTTTTTTTTTTTACAGACTAGCGCCTATGCATCATAACTGAGGTAGCTGACTGTTTGGGGTTTGACAGGTCTTAGGGAAAGTTCCTCTTCCTGAAAAGTCGAGTGGGGGCCTGTCCCACCCACTCTGTCCCCACTTCTCATGCTACGTTTCTTTCCCTAAAAAGGGGTAAATAAGAAGTGCCTTCTGGGGACAGGAAACTCACCACTCCCGAGACAGCTCATTCCATTCCCAGGATGGATATGTGAGCCATTAGAAAGAAACGTACTTGGCTGGAGCCAAACTCTGGCTCCTTGGAGCGTCTGTGGCCGCCTGGTGTTGGTCCTGTGATCTGGAGCCACGCGGACAACTCGGATTCCTTTTACCCCAAACGGCCCTTCAGAGATGTGAAGACAGCCTGGGTACCCCGAGCCACCTTCCGAACACTAGTCAGCCCCGATTCCCTCCCTCCTGTCTCCTGTGATCCACACACCTCCTGCTTTTCCAGAAACCCACTCAGAGGGAAGGCCCAGGGCCAGGCACATCTCTCGGGGTCTGGTCTGCTGGCGGTCCTCACGCTTCTGCCATCTACATCAAAGACAACCGCGGTTTCTGTGATGTCGCTGGTGCCGGGTGTGGGGTCACACGTACGACAGCTGAGCTGTGCTACCCACCCTGTCCCGGTGCAAGTCAGCTTTGGGGAATCTCAGGAAAGGATCTATTCAGTCTCCTCTTATCGAACTCAGATCGTCTAGCTATTGGTCAAGATGGGGACAAAAGTCTAAACTCCTTAGCCTGACACCCAAGGCTCTTTGTGACTTACCCAGCTGTGTCTCTTTGGCCAGACCTTCCCACCATTCCTGAATTCCTACTCAACACTTAAAGAAAGTTCCATTTTTCTGAGAAGTCAAGCGGGGGCATGTCCCACCTTTCTACTAAAAATAGCCAACATTTACTGAGATCTGACTGTGTGCCTACACACCGGCCCTGTATCCATCCAGAACACAGGCATGAAGCGAGTGAAATTACTCACCCATCATTCGTGCGGGCAAACCGAGGCATAGAGCAGTTAAGAAACTTGCTGGAGGTCACACAGCTAATACGAGGTGGTTCTGGGCCACGGGCTCTTAACTACTGTGCATCCTGCCCCACTCCCCGGTGTGTAGCTCACGGTGGCTTATAAGGGCTGACTGCCAAATTGTTGGGAATTTTGCAAGCTAGTTGTTAACATACAAGCATCATTTAAAAACTATATAAACTTCCTACACCAATTCATCTGGAAAAAAAAAAAACTATATAAACTGACAGTCAAATAAGTAAAATTAAAAACAAAGAGAAATACTCAAAACTTGTCACAGCCTAATGATTTTACTACATTTTACTATCACCTGTGTTCTTAAGGATATTTATGCTTATCGGATCTGTGTGGTGGAAATACCATACAATGGTGTGCTGCATTCAGTGATATCATGCCAGTAGCACGAAATTGTCCGCGGCGGAATATTTACACTACAGAGATAGGCAAATGTTAAACATTAGGGCTTTTTTTTTTTCATTAGAGAGCCAGCTATTAAATATTGACTAGGATATCTCTGCCTAACACCCTGTCAGCTACCACATCAATGTATTCTTCCCCAAATAAGCCATTATCACAGATGCCAGTGAGTCTTGCCCACACTGTTCCTCCTACCTGGAACGCCCTTCCTCGCATTCTTGGCCTGTTGAACTTTAACCCACTCTTTAAGGTTCAGTACAGGTATCTCCTCTTCTAGAAATCCCTTAGTGACAACTCATCCTGGGGCAGGCACCCCTAGTGTGCTTACACGGTATTTAGCGGGCCATTGCTACATGCTATCCTCTGAGCTCAGCACTTGAAACACAAGGTTCCATAAGAGATGGTCTCTGATCTCAAGACACTCGCTGTCTCCTCCGTGGTAAGCGGGTTGAGAGGGCAGGACTCAAGACTGAATGCCATGGCAGGTCCCGAGAGAGACCCCTCCAGGCAGAGAGCAGATTGGGCGTGAGACAATAAGGAGTGGTGAGGACTGGGGCAACACTAGCCCTGTGCCCCATCTATGAGTGCAGCCGCTTCTCCACGATGGCCAGTTGTTGCCATTTAGGAATCCAGGCCTAGGATGGCCAGATCTTTTCAGGAGTAGCTGGAAATTGGGACCTCTGTGTAAGATCTCTTAACAGTTAGACATTGGCAACTAATTCCACTTTTAAAAAAAGCACTGTGTAGAGGAAGCAAAGCATCTCCTAGGGCTGCATGGAGCCCTGGGCTGAAAGTTTATAACCAAAGCTCCAGTTCCACTCATCAAGCAACTGTTGGGATCATGAACCCATTTCACTAACATCTCCAACTTGTCCGTAAGGAAACCCCATGACACTGTGGTCAGACAGCTTATGAAAATCCCAATCATTATGTCTTTATTGGGTCTCAAGCCCTTTGTGCAGTGGAAAGAACATGGATTTGGGTGACAGACCCAGGGCCAGACAGATTCTGGGTCCTCCTTTTACCAGCCATGTGACCTTGGGCAAGCTACCTAACATCTGCCCCTTCCTGATAAGATGGGATCACGATGTCCCACAGATTTCGTGAGGGCTAAGGAAGGCTGTGAATGTTATACTTGCCTTGTAAATGTGTCATAGCGGATGCTCATCGAAGGCCAAGTTCTTCTCTCCTTCCTTCCTGAACCATGACCCTTGCAATCCCCTCCAGCAGGAAGTGCCAGAGTGAACAGCATGTGTGATGAGTTCTGTAACATTCCAGAGATGGGCAAGCTCCCCGTGGAAGGAGGAATCATGGAAAACTTCCTGGAGGAGGAGGACTCAATGCAGACTTTCTGCCAGTGAGTACCGGACAATACTTTGTACTAGTAAAGCATTTGATGAGGTCAGGGATGTCTCAGCAGCTCAGGTTCTTAGAAAGAAGGAGGGTCCGGTGTGGAGTGGGGTGGTGGGGGAGAGAATGAAGCCGGAGCCAGAGGAGTCATGCATTCACTGAACAGACCCTTGCTGAGCACCTACTGTGTGCCAAGTGCTGGGGTACAGAGGCGAAGCTGACACAGCGCCTACCCTCATGGAGTTCTCAGTTGACTGGAAAGACATCCTGGCAATAATGTTTATGATAGTTATGATTTACTGAGCACCTACTAGGTGCCAAGCACTGTCCTGGGCCCTTCTGCCTAGCTCCTCTCATTGCTTTATCACGATTACTAAATGAAACTGGTTCTATTATTCTCCTATTTTACCCAGATAAAACTGAGAATCGAAGAGGCTAAACAACTCGGTCAGGTGACACAGGCGGTCAAAGGTGAGACCCAGGTTTGAATTCACGTCTGTCTGGCTTGAAGGTCAGGTTCTTGGATCTGACATTGTGCCTCCTCCTCCCTCGTGTGTTCAGTCTCTCCTTCATCAAGCGTTGTTAGTTAAGTTCAAGCCAGCCGCGAACTGCTCTACCTGAGACACCTCCTGGATGCCTGCGAAGACATTCGAGCCAAATCCCTCAGGTGGGCTGAGCTCGGCAGGGAGAGGGGAAGAGACAAGAGCAACTCCTACAATGCAGATCCCTGAAAACACACTGCGCTTGAGGGGCCGAGAGAGGTGGGGAGGGGTGGGTGCAGGAGGGCGGCCGCACGGCATGGCCTGGCGAAGCCCAGAGGCGGACAGAGTTTCGAGGAGGAGGGGGGGGGTCTTGAGATGGAGGGGACTCCATCCTGCGAGCCTGAGGGGCGGCCCCAAGCTCGGGCTAGCCAGGCTCAGGGCACCCCTGAGGGCAGCGAAGGGCTCAGAATGGGCGCTGAGGAAGTGGAGGCCCCTCTGGTCAGAAATGTGGTTTTTACCAGAGAAAGAAAGCTAGAGAGAGAGAGGCCACCTGAGGCAAGGGCTTTTTTCTTTCTATTTCTTTTTTTTTTTTAGCCTTATTGTGTTTGGTTTAGGAAGGCAAGGTGGATGCATACCAGTCAGTGGAGGAGAGAAGAGGTTGAAAAAGAGAAATGAAATAATGCAGGACAGAGAGGACTTTTCCCCACAGCACTGAACACCTCCAGACATAGTATATATTTATTTGATGTCTTTTTTTTTTTTAGAGAGAGACAGAGTCTCGCTCTGTCTCCCAGGCACAATCATAGCTCACTGCAGCCTCGAACTCCTGGCCTCAAGCAATCTACCTCAGCTTCCCAAGTAGCTGGGACTACAGATACGTAGTCTGGCCATGCCTGGCCAATTTAAAGAAAAAAAAAATTTTTTTTTAGAGATGGGGATCTTGCTATGTTGTCCAGGCTGGTCTCAAACTCCTGGCCTTCAGCAATCCTCCTGCCTTGGCCTCCCAAAGTGCTGGGATTACAGGTGCAAGCCACGGTGCCCGGCCTTGATGTCTTTTCTATTAATATCTGTTTCCCACCAAGCACAGGGTAGCTCCAGGAAGGCAGGGCCTCTGTCTCAGTCACAGGTGGATTCCCAGTGCTGCCTGGCATGCAGTAGACACTTAATAAATATTTTTGTGTTGAATTGGATTCACAGGGTTCCTCAGGGAGCCCGGTAGTTGGGTTCCAGGAAGAGAAGAGTCCATGGGGGCCCAAAGGAGGGGCATCTTTCTGATCCAGCTGTGGGAGGAGGGGGAGAGAAAGAGAAGCCCAATGGCCAGCAGACGGGGAGCTCAAAATCCACGTCTTCTCGAAAACATGTGTGTGGGCTGGGGTTGGGGTAGGGTGGAGGCAGGGATTGATGGAAATGGAGAATGGAGAATAGTAGCTACCTATGTCCTGTGAGAATACTCTAGAAGGTTAGTTATCATTTATTTGTTAGCGTTATTCTGCATTGGCCGCTGCTGTAAGTTATAAATGTATAAATTCATTTAATCCTAACAGCAACTCTCCAAGGCAGGTGAGCTACAGACGTCCCTCCGAGGTGACGTAGCCAGTAGTGGGGAAGCCAGGATTTGAACCTGGGATTTGGAGCTGATGCAGAGTTTGTGATGTTACCCATTGGGCCACACACTTCCCTACCCAGTGTTAGTTCATATGCCTTGTTTTATCATTTTTATTTTTTATATTTTTATTTTTTTAGAGACAGGGTCTTGCTCTGTCGCCCAGGCTGGAGTGCAGTGGCATGATCATAGCTCATTGTAACCTTGAACTTCTGGGCTCACATGATCCTCCTGCCTCAGCCTCCCAAGGAGCTGGGACTACAGGCACATGCCACCAGGTCTGGCTAATTTTAAAATTTTTTTTTTGGTAAAGACTGAGTCTTACTGTGTTGCCCAGGCTGGTCTGGAACTGCTGGCCTCAAGTGATCCTTCCTCCTTGGCCTCCCACAGTGCTAGGATTACAGGCATGAGCCACTGTGCCAGGCCCTCTGTTTTATATAGTGCATTCCTCTGAGGAGCCCCTGGAGCTGGAGGGGCTCATTGTTCTCACGTTTCACATGAAGAAACAGAGACATGTAGTGACTTTCCCAGGGTCACACAGCCACTAAGTGGCTGAGCAGGGGACTCCAGCTTGCATCTCTCTAACTTCAAGCCTGGTGCCTTCCCCTTGCCAGAGGGAAGACACACAGGAATTTAGTGGGGAGCCAGGTGCCAAAATAAGGTACCACCTGGACTTGGGGAGGCGACATTCTGCAGCCTCTCCAGAGAGGGGTTTCCACAGACTCTGAGTCATCCCAGTGAGGGCGCAGGGCGGAAGCTGCTGAGGGTTGGCAGGCTGGGTACAGCAGGAAGCAGACAGGGGGCAAAGCTGCAAATCCCAGAGGGGGGCAGGCTGGCTCCCGCGGCCGTTCTGGGTCTAGGTTGAGCGAGACGAGACGGACTGAAATACGAGCAGGAGCCGGGCACTGGGAGAAGTGCTCAGGGCCAAGGGCGGGAGTGTGGTGGGCGGGAGGGGGGCTGGGCCGGGAGAGGGGTGCCAGGGCTCCTCCTGTCCCTGGCGGGGAAGAGCCTGGACCATGAGTGGCCAAGCCAGACCCTCCTCAATGTCGCTCCTGAAGCCACCCTGGCACTGGGACCTGTTTCAGAAAATAGCTGCTTCTGAACGAGGAGAGGGAAGAATCCCCAGGGGTCTCGTGGGGTGCGCAGGGGGAAGTAGGGCTTCCTATGTGAGTTACCAGGGATCTTGGAGCGGGGCCAGGCAGGAGAGTGGGAGGCGGCAGGCAGGCCCTTAAAGCCAGGCGTGTGCCCAGCCCCTGCCTCTACCGCGGCCCCTGGGACGGAGGAAAGGTCTCACTGGTGAGCAATCTTGCTCTTGGGGCTGCCTTGCTTGGGGGGGGGGGTTGGGAGAGCAGGGTGCACACAAGGGCTTTGAGAGGAGACACCTTGGTGGGGGCGCAGGGCCCAGAGCGGGCGGCCCCCATCTGTCGCCTGCCCGCAGACTGCGGTATCTCAGCGGTGCCTTCAGTGCAGCCGGGCTTGGTCCTCTCCAGCCAGGCGACGTGAACTGGGGTGTCCTGGGACATGGGGGCTGCTGCCCATGGGCTTGGAGGACTCATCGCTTGGGTGACCCGGCCACTTCCCGGCCTCCACATCTTCCCGAGTCTGTCGGTGGATCCATCCCCGCCTCCCCACCTCTTGCTGCTGCTGCTGTAGCCGCTGCCGGCCCTGAACTTCTCTGCGGCCGTGCTCGTTGCTCCCTGTGGTTGCCTGATAAAAATAGCCGAGCCCACATCCTTCTCTGGGACCTGCCCTGGGCTCACCCGCCGGCCCATCTGCAGGGCAGTGTTTCAGTGCCCTGCCACCTCTGCAGGGAAACCGCTTGTCACTCTTGCAGGCCCATTTTCTTTCTTTCCTTCTTTTTGTTTAGAGACAGGGTCTCGCCGTGCTGCCCAGGCTGGAGTGCAGGGGCGCCATCACAGCTCACTACAGCCTCAAACTCCTGGGCTCAAGCGATCCTCCTGCCTCAGCCTCCCACGGAGCTGGCTAATTTTTTTTGTTTTCTGTAGAGACGGAATCTTGCTATGTTGCCCAGGCTGGTCTTGAACTCCTGGCCTCAAGCGATCCTCTTGTGTGGCCTCCCAAAGTGCTGGGATGATAGGTGTGGGCCTTCGCGCCCGGCCTCAGCCTCATGTTCGCAGGGCCCCTGCTGCTCACTCACGCTGGCAGCCTGAGTCCAGGCTGTTCCCAGACGCACCTGGGAGGTTGGTTTTCTTCAGGTGTGGTGGGGCCAACAGGTCAGGAGGTGACTGTTGTGTGTAACAGCTTATTCACAGTCCCTGAGAGAGGAGGGCACGCCACCCCACGCAGGGCCACACCGGAGGTACCAGGCCGGTCGGGAGGCAGGGGAGGCCAGTGGGAAGCGTGCCCTGGGGCCTTCGTCGTGATTTCCGAGGGGGAGGCCGGGCAGGGCAGGTGGACAGTGTAGGCCTGGCTGGCTGGAACCTTCTCCGTGGGCTCCAGCTTCCCTAGTTGTCCTGTGTCTGGCTGGGGGTGATTCAGAGCAGGAGAAATGTCGGCTTGGAGTGTGAGAGTGAGGCGACGGAGGTGGCCGGGTGTGACGAGGGCCCGGTTGGCTTGTGTGGCACCTTCGCAGAGGAGCCACTGCCTTCTCTAGGAATTAGCTGGCCCTGGGAGGGACAGTCTCTCCCTGGCCAGCAAAGCCCTGACATGTCGAAACATTATAAGATAAACAGAATAAACAGCGTGTTTACTGCCCAGGGTGCCCAGAGGCGGTGGAGTTGAGCCAGCCGAGGGCGCAGCCTCACGGCCCTGGCCTAAGCCCTCAGGCAACTACTTCCCCTGCCTGAGCCTCGACCTCCTCATCAGTAAGGTCCCAAACTGCCATGCATCCAGCAAGTCACTGTTGAAGGGGACAGACACCAGGCCAGCAGGTTGAACAATAGACACCATCAAGGTCACTGGGGAGACCAACGACCACTGGTTAGAGAGACGGTGACGGTGTCTGGCACGCCGGAAGTGCCCAGTGTCTGAGTGGCAGCTGGCGTCTTCCTGCCGCAGCTCAGGAGGCAGCGGGGAAAGATTGATGTGGAAGCCGGGGACCTGGGGCCACTTCTTTTGGCTGTTCAGAGCCCCCAGAGCGGAGGCTGTGGGTGGACAGAACCCTCAGGAATGTTCTTGGAACTCAGGGCTGCTGCTGGCCAGAGCTGGCATGGAGGCCAGCCCAGTCGCCAGGAGCCCCGGGGAGTGCGAGGTGCGTTTGAAGGCCAGGCCTCGGGAGGCGCCAGGGGCACGGGCGGAGCCCCGGCACCAGAGACCGCTCCGCTCAGGGACTCGGAGACGGCAGGACACCGCAGGGGAAACCCTGGCAGACCACAGGCCAGCTGGGCAGCTGCGGATAAACAAGGGCTCTGGCGTCCTGGGAGGAAGGGAGCAGCCAGCCGCCAGCGAGGAGCCTCTGAGACGCCCAGCGAGACTCGGGCAACGGCCGCAGACACGGGTGTCTCCTCCGCCTTCTGCCTGGGGTTGTTTGAACCCTGGGCGAGTGGTGGCTGTGTCTGCCAAGCACACAGCCTCAGGGGGGAAGCCGGGGGCCTGGGCCCACGAGGCGGAGGAACAAACACAGCCCCTCGGTTCAGAGAATTCACGCCTCTGGGGCGGGAGGCCACACGGTGCAGTGAGGGGCACACGAGGACAGCCCTGAATCCTGTCCCCGCTTCTCACTGGCTGCATGGACTCAGGCAAGTTCCTCGAGTTCTCTGAGCCTCAATCGTCCCACTTGCAAAATGGAAAAAAATGATACCTACCCTGCAGGACTGTCACGAGCACCCAAGGCTGGCTTAATCTTTAGGTAGGCACAGCGCCTGGGGCCCAGGAAAACGTTTTCATTTAAAATTCTTTAAAAATCGGGAGGAAAAAAATGAATATAATAATCATAATGAATATATAATAATGAATTCAGCTGGGGTTATATTTTCTTTATACCAATGTAATGGTCAAATATAATCGTTTATGCGCATATACACAGGGTGTGTCTATTCATATATTTTGGAGAGAGAAGGCCACTAAGCCCTAAGTGCTTGGGACCCACACAAGCCCCAAGAAGGCCCTGAGAGCTCTCCCGTCTTCCATCAAGGGCCAAGTGTAGGTTACGTCAATTCCTGCCTCTCTACGTACGCCACCAAATCTCCAGTTAAGAGTCCTGCCTAGTCTATGTTCCCTTTAGCCATTTTCTGCCGAGCGGTGGGTGCGTCCGGGCGTCCGTGGCTCGGGGCTCCGTTGGGGGAGACGCTTCCATGAATGCCCCTCTGCCTCCAGGGCCCCCAGCGGACCTATGAATTTTTGCCTCCTGTGTATTGTCCAACCCGGGGGCCTGTGGTGGAACAGGCGGGGCCTGGCAGGGAGGCAGGGTGGGGTCTGAATGGGCCGTTGCCCGATACATGCGTCGTGGCGTGTGTTTTCTTTTCCAGAAACCCAGAGATGAAGGGCCTCCTCCCACTGGCTTGGTTCCTGGCTTATAGTAAGTGCTGGCCCATGACCCCTGAGTGACCTTTGACCCCACGGGAGTCATGGCGCAGTGGAAAGGGGACCAGTCTCTGAGGTCGTGGAGACAGACCTGTGTCTGAACCTTGGCTCTGTGCCGACCGCGTAGATGTCAGCAAGAGCCTTTGTCCCTCTGAGCCTCTGCTCCCTGGGCCGACACAGGCAGACGCAGCCCATCATGGGGCCGGGCGGCGTTCTAGGAGATGCCATACCCAAAACGCAAAGTGCGTAAAGGCCGTGGACGCAGAGGATGTGTGGCTGGCAAATGCAGGAGGCGGATTTTATCCTTGGATGCAAAACAAAGTAAACTAAGGCCAAAACAAGACCAAGACATCCAAATTAGACACAAGGCCCTTAGCTAAATGTCCCAGCCTATGATTCCTGGTCATTTTCTGGTCCTGGGCCATCCAGGGCTTCTACGCACCCCACCCCTAGCCTCCTCCCAGCTTGGAGGTGACAGTGCAGCTGGCTTTAGTCCCACCCTGCAGCCCCATACCTGTGTGCACAGCCCCACGGCAGGCTGTCCTGATGTTTGATGTCCTGCCAGATCCCCGGGGACCCCAGGAGGAACGGGAGGCCAGTGTGGGGACAGAGCCTCGGGCTCTCTGCCAAACCCTGGACAGGGCACTTTCCCCCTCCAAGTCTCAGTTCCCAGTTTGTAAGATGAGAGAGTAAATTCCCTGATTTCTAAGAGTCCCCTCCTGCTTTAGGGTTCTCTGCCTTGTGTTCTAAAAGGTGCCAGAGGGAGGGCAGGAGGGGGAGAGGGATGCATCGCCAGGAGAAATAGGAAACTCTGCCTGCTTCATACAGATACCATATGCATTACACCTGACATTTCTTGGTCACTTAGTATGTGTCTGCCACCGTGCTCAAAATGTACATACTTTATCTTATTTTAACTCTCAACACGACTGCATGTGGTAGCTGCTAATTTTAGGTTCCCATTTTCCAGAAGAGGAAACTGAGGCTCTGAGAGATTAAGATTAAGCCTGCTCAACATCATCCTTTGAATCAGTGGCAGAGCCAGGATTTGAATCTGGGTCTGCTCATTTTTTTAAGTCAAACTCTTAGCCACTGCTTGTACTGCACTAATTAGGGAATAAAAAAGAGACAGCTAGGTCCCTCTGAACCCCGGGGGGTTGGGGGCAGGGGTAGAAGGGGCAGGAGGTGCTGGGAAGCGGCTTGAGCAGGGCCGCCCAGGGGACATGGGGACATGGCTGTCTTTCAGGTGTGCCTGCTGTGCCAGGAGGCTTGCTGCAACTGAAGTCAATGATTGAGAAGGTGACAGGAAAGAACGCCCTGGTAAACTATGGCTTCTACGGCTGTTACTGCGGCTGGGGCGGCCGAGGGACCCCCAAGGATGTCACCGACTGGTGAGCTGATCCCCATATCTGTCCTTTGGGTTCCGGGCTCTGCATTCACATTATCTCACCCAGTGTCATGTCCATTCTGGAAAATGAGTATGAAAGCATCAATTTAGGGATAAGGAAATGAAGGCTCAAAGAAGTTAACTGGAGATCCCAAGAGCTCAGTGGCTTAAGGTGCCGTCAGTTGGTATATTATGGCAGCTTCACAAATGGTCCTAAATGTAGTGGCTTAAAACAGCAGCGATCACTTTGCTTATGACTCTGCCATGAGGGCAGGGTTTGGCAGCGTGACCTGTGTCAGCTCTACCCAGCTTCAGCTCGGAGCCTGTGGCTGGCATGTTGCTGCTGTCCCCTGGCCTGAGAGTGGGCCAGGGGCCTCAGGTCCTCTCACTTAGGCCCCTGTAAGGATGTTTGGATTTCCTCCCAGCATGGTGACTCTTGGGTTCCAAGAGTGAGTCCCCAGACTGCAAGACCAAAGGGCACTGAGTTTTTATGATCAGCCTCAGAAATTCCATAGTGTCACATCACACTTGGTGGAGGCAGTCACAAAGGCTTTAAGAGGGAGGGGACCTAGATTCTACTCTCGATTGGGAAGAAGTTTTAGAAGAACATGTGAAATGGGAGATATTGCTCTTTGTAAAACACGCCCTGCTGGGCTAACCATTCTGATACCAATAGAAATGTAATGGAAAGGGACAATTAAGCAAATGGGATGACAGGTGGGTGGAGCCCAGGCTCTCCCTGCTGCGGTGGGATGAGCAGAGCAGAAAGCTAGAATGACCTGTTGATAATGCCTTGGAACAGGAGATGTCAACGTGAGCTCCCCCGAAGCCTAGGATAGATGCAGATATTTACAAACAGATGTACGTATAGATAATGTGCATATACACAAGTTAATGTGAATACATTTTTTTTAGTATTAGTTGAGAGGGGCTAAAAGAAATGACACCCCACTAGCAATAAGCACACCTGCTACCTATGTCTGGTTTCTAACACCATTCTTCGATGAAAGGAACCAAGGCTCCTTGAAGAAATGGCAGATTCTAAGACTCAGGGCAGGAAATATATGAGATGAGTCTAGAACCTCTTAGAGTTCCAAAAAGCAAGAAAGAACTCAAACAAAATGAAACCCCGCATGGACAGGGGTAGGTCAGGGGACACATGAGCCACCAGAAAGATGCCCAATGCCCAGAGCTGGAACCACTTGAGCAGCAAAGTAAATAACCAGAACCCTGGTCTTACCATGAGAAGAAGAGAAAAATCAGACAAATCCCAACACTGGGGCATCTTACAAAATTCCTGACTGTACTGCTCACAGCCAGCAAGGTCAGCCAACCAGGGAAAAATCTGATACCCTACCCATGCAGACTGTCACGAGCACCCAAGGCTGGCTTTAATCTTTAGGTAGGCACAGCGGCCTGGGGCCCAGGAAAACGTTTTCATTTAAATTCTTAAAAATCAGGAGGAAAAAATGAATATAATAATCATAATGAATATCATTAATAATGAATTCAGCGGGTTATATTTTCTTATACCAAATGAATGCGTCAAATAGTAATCGTTTATGCGGCATATGACACAGGGTGTGGTCTATTCATATATTTTTGGAGAGAGAAGCCACTAAGCCTTAGGTTGCTTTGGGACCCACACAAGCCCTAAGAAGGCCCTGAGAGCTCTTCCGTCTTCCATCAAGGGCAAGTGTAGGTTACGTCAATTTCCTGCCTCTCTACGTACTTCCACCAAAATTCCAGTTAAGAGTCCGCCTAGTCTATGTTCCTTTTAGCCATTTTCTGCCGAGCGGTGAGTGCGTCCGGGCGTCCGGGCTTCGGGCTCCGTTGGGGAGACGCTTCATGAATGCCCCTCTGCCTCCAGTGCCCCAGCGGACCTATGAATTTTTGCCTCCTGTGTATTGTCCAACCGGGTGCCGTGTGGTGGAACAGCGGGGCCTGGCAGGGAGGGCAGGGTGGGGTCTGAATGGGCCGTTGCCCGATACATGCGTCGTGGCGTGTGTTTCTTTCCAGAAACCCATGAGATGAAGAGGCCTCCTTTCCCACTGCTTGGTTCCTGGCTTATAGTAAGTGGGCTGCCCATGACCCCTGAGTGACCTTGACCCCACGGGAGTCATGGCGCAGTTGGAAAGGGACCAGTCTCCTGAGTCGTGGAGACAGACCGTGTCTGAACCTTGGCCTGTGCAGATCCCGCGTAAGATGTCAGCAAGAGCCTTTGTCCCTCTGAGCCTCTGCTCCCTGGGCCGGACACAGGCAGGACGCACCCACATGGGCCGGGCGGCGTTCTTAGGAGATGCCATACCCAGGCAGGCAGGCCCTTAAAGCCAGGCGTGTGCCCAGCCCCTGCCTCTACCGCGGCCCCTGGGACGGAGGAAAGGTCTCACTGGTGAGCAATCTTGCTCTTGGGGCTGCCTTGCTTGGGTGGGGGTTGGGAGAGCAGGGTGCACACAAGGGCTTTGAGAGGAGACACCTTGGTGGGGGCGCAGGGCCCAGAGCGGGGCGGCCCCCATCTGTCGCCTGCCCGCAGACTGCAGTATCTCAGCGGTGCCTTCAGTGCAGCCGGGCTTGGTCCTCTCCAGCCAGGCGACGTGAACTGGGGTGTCCTGGGACATGGGGGCTGCTGCCCGTGGGCTTGGAGGACCCGTCGCTTGGGTGACCCGGCCACTTCCCGGCCTCCACATCTTCCCGAGTCTGTCGGTGGATCCATCCCCGCCTCCCCACCTCTCGCTGCTGTAGCCGCTGAACTTCTCTGCGGCCGTGCTCATTGCTCCCTGTGGTTGCCTGATAAAAATAGCCGAGCCCACATCCTTCTAGGGGACCTGCCCTGGGCTTGCCCGCCGGCCCATCTGCAGGGCAGTGTTTCAGTGCCCTGCCACCTCTGCAGGGAAACCGCTTTTCACTCTTGCAGGCCCATTTTCTTTCTTTCCTTCTTTTTGTTTAGAGACAGGGTCTCGCCGTGCTGCCCAGGCTGGAGTGCAGGGGCGCCATCACAGCTCACTACAGCCTCAAACTCCTGGGCTCAAGCGATCCTCCTGCCTCAGCCTCCCACGGAGCTGGCTAATTTTTTTGTTTTCTGTAGAGACGGAATCTTGCTATGTTGCCCAGGCTTGTCTTGAACTCCTGGCCTCAAGCGATCCTCTTGTGTGGCCTCCCAAAGTGCTGGGATGACAGGTGTGGGCCTTCGAGCCCGGCCTCAGCCTCATGTTCGCAGGGCCCCTGCTGCTCACTCACGCCGGCAGCCTGAGTCCAGGCTGTTCCCAGACGCACCTGGGAGGTTGGTTTTCTTCAGGTGTGGTGGGGCCAACAGGTCAGGAGGTGACTGTTGTGTGTAACAGCTTATTCACAGTCCCTGAGAGAGGAGGGCACGCCACCCCACGCAGGGCCACACCGGAGGTACCAGGCCGGTCGGGAGGCAGGGGAGGCCAGTGGGAAGCGTGCCCTGGGGCCTTCGTCGTGATTTCCGAGGGGGAGGCCGGGCAGGGCAGGTGGACAGTGTAGGCCTGGCTGGTTGGGACCTTCTCCGTGGGCTCCAGCTTCCCTAGTTGTCCTGTGTCTGGCTGGGGGTGATTCAGAGCAGGAGAAATGTCGGCTTGGAGTGTGAGAGTGAGGCGACGGAGGTGGCCGGGTGTGACGAGGGCCCGGTTGGCTTGTGTGGCACCTTCGCAGAGGAGCCACTGCCTTCTCTAGGAATTAGCTGGCCCTGGGAGGGACAGTCTCTCCCTGGCCAGCAAAGCCCTGACATGTCGAAACATTATAAGATAAACAGAATAAACAGCGTGTTTACTGCCCAGGGTGCCCAGAGGCGGTGGAGTTGAGCCAGCCGAGGGCGCAGCCTCACGGCCCTGGCCTAAGCCCTCCGGCAACTACTTCCCCTGCCTGAGCCTCGACCTCCTCATCAGTAAGGTCCCAAACTGCCATGCATCCAGCAAGTCACTGTTTAAGCGGACAGACACCAGGCCAGCAGGTTGAACAATAGACACCATCAAGGTCACTGGGGAGACCAACGACCACTGGTTAGAGAGACTGTGACAGTGCCTGGCACGCCGGAAGTGCCCAGTGTCTGAGTGGCAGCTGGCGTCTTCCTGCCACAGCGGGGAAAGATTGGTGTGGAAGCGGGGGACCTGGGGCCACTTCTTTTGGCTGTTCAGAGCCCCCAGAGCGGAGGCTGTGGGTGGACAGAACCCTCAGGAATGTTCTTGGAACTCAGGGCTGCTGCTGGCCAGAGCTGGCATGGAGGCCAGCCCAGTCGCCAGGAGCCCCGGGGAGTGTGAGGTGCGTTTGAAGGCCAGGCCTCGGGAGGCGCCAGGGGCACGGGCGGAGCCCCAGCACCAGAGACCGCTCCACTCAGGGACTCGGAGACGGCAGGGCACCGCAGGGGAAATCCTGGCAGACCACAGGCCAGCTGGGCAGCTGCGGATAAACAAGGGCTCTGGCGTCCTGGGAGGAAGGGAGCAGCCAGCCGCCGGCGAGGAGCCTCTGAGACGCCCAGCGAGACTCGGGCAACGGCCCCAGACACGGGTGTCTCCTCCGCCTTCTGCCTGGGGTTGTTTGAACCCTGGGCGAGTGGTGGCTGTGTCTGCCAATCACACAGCCTCAGGGGGGAAGCCGGGGCCTGGGCCCACGAGGCGGAGGAACAAACACAGCCCCTCGGTTCAGGGAATTCACGCCTCTGGGGCGGGAGGCCACATGGTGCAGTGAGGGGCACACGAGGACAGCTCTGAATCCTGTCCCCGCTGCGTGGCCTCAGGCAAGTTCCTCGAGTTCTCTGAGCCTCAATCGTCCCACTTGCAAAATGGAAAAAAATGATACCTACCCTGCAGGACTGTCACGAGCACCCAAGGCTGGCTTAATCTTTAGGTAGGCACAGCGCCTGGGGCCCAGGAAAACATTTTCATTTAAAATTCTTTAAAAATCGGGAGGAAAATAATGAATATAATAATCATAATGAATATATAACAATGAATTCAGCTGGGGTTATATTTTCTTTATACCAATGTAATGGTCAAATATAATCGTTTATGCGCATATACACAGGGTGTGTCTATTCATATATTTTGGAGAGAGAAGGCCACTAAGCCCTAAGTGCTTGGGACCCACACAAGCCCTAAGAAGGCCCTGAGAGCTCTTCCGTCTTCCATCAAGGGCCAAGTGTAGGTTACGTCAATTCCTGCCTCTCTACGTACGGCACCAAATCTCCAGTTAAGAGTCCTGCCTAGTCTATGTTCCTTTTAGCCATTTTCTGCCGAGCGGTGAGTGCGTCCGGGCGTCCATGGCTCGGGGCTCCGTTGGGGGAGACGCTTCCAAGAATGCCCCTCTGCCTCCAGGGCCCCCAGCGGACCTATGAATTTTTGCCTCCTGTGTATTGTCCAACCCGGGGGCCTGTGGTGGAACAGGCGGGGCCTGGCAGGGAGGCAGGGTGGGGTCTGAATGGGCCGTTGCCCGATACATGTGTCGTGGCGTGTGTTTTCTTTTCCAGAAACCCAGAGATGAAGGGCCTCCTCCCACTGGCTTGGTTCCTGGCTTATAGTAAGTGCTGGCCCATGACCCCTGAGTGACCTTTGACCCCACGGGAGTCATGGCCCAGTGGAAAGGGGACCAGTCTCTGAGGTCGTGGAGACAGATCTGTGTCTGAACCTTGGCTCTGTGCCGACTGAGTAGATGTCAGCAAGAGCCTTTGTCCCTCTGAGCCTCTGCTCCCTGGGCCGACACAGGCAGACGCAGCCCATCATGGGGCCGGGCGGCGTTCTAGGAGATGCCATACCCAAAACGCAAAGTGCGTAAAGGCCGTGGACACAGAGGATGTGTGGCTGGCAAATGCAGGAGGCGGATTTTATCCTTGAATGCAAAACAAAGTAAACTAAGGCCAAAAAAAGACCAAGAAATCCAAATTAGACACAAGGCCCTTAGCTAAATGTCCCAGCCTATGATTCCTGGTCATTTTCTGGTCCTGGGCCATCCAGGGCTTCTACGCACCCCACCCCTAGCCTCCTCCCAGCTTGGAGGTGACAGTGCAGCTGGCTTTAGTCCCACCCTGCAGCCCCATACCTGTGTGCACAGCCCCACGGCAGGCTGTCCTGATGTTTGATGTCCTGCCAGATCCCCGGGGACCCCAGGAGGAACGGGAGGCCAGTGTGGGGACAGAGCCTCGGGCTCTCTGCCAAACCCTGGACAGGGCACTTTCCCCCTCCAAGTCTCAGTTCCCAGTTTGTAAGATGAGAGAGTAAATTCCCTGATTTCTAAGAGTCCCCTCCTGCTTTAGGGTTCTCTGCCTTGTGTTCTAAAAGGTGCCAGAGGGAGGGCAGGAGGGGGAGAGGGATGCATCGCCAGGAGAAATAGGAAACTCTGCCTGCTTCATACAGATACCATATGCATTACACCTGATATTTCTTGGTCACTTAGTATGTGTCTGCCACCATGCTCAAAATGTACATACTTTATCTTATTTTAACTCTCAACATGACTGCATGTGGTAGCTGCTAATTTTAGGTTCCCATTTTCCAGAAGAGGAAACTGAGGCTCTGAGAGATTAAGATTAAGCCTGCTCAACATCATCCTTTGAATCAGTGGCAGAGCCAGGATTTGAATCTGGGTCTGCTCATTTTTTTAAGTCAAACTCTTAGCCACTGCTTGTACTGCACTAATTAGGGAATAAAAAAGAGACAGCTAGGTCCCTCTGAACCCCGGGGGGTTGGGGGCAGGGGTAGAAGGGGCAGGAGGTGCTGGGAAGCGGCTTGAGCAGGGCCGCCCAGGGGACATGGGGACATGGCTGTCTTTCAGGTGTGCCTGCTGTGCCAGGAGGCTTGCTGCAACTGAAGTCAATGATTGAGAAGGTGACAGGAAAGAACGCCCTGGTAAACTATGGCTTCTACGGCTGTTACTGCGGCTGGGGCGGCCGAGGGACCCCCAAGGATGTCACCGACTGGTGAGCTGATCCCCATATCTGTCCTTTGGGTTCCGGGCTCTGCATTCACATTATCTCACCCAGTGTCATGTCCATTCTGGAAAATGAGTATGAAAGCATCAATTTAGGGATAAGGAAATGAAGGCTCAAAGAAGTTAACTGGAGATCCCAAGAGCTCAGTGGCTTAAGGTGCCGTCAGTTGGTATATTATGGCAGCTTCACAAATGGTCCTAAATGTAGTGGCTTAAAACAGCAGCGATCACTTTGCTTATGACTCTGCCATGAGGGCAGGGTTTGGCAGCGTGACCTGTGTCAGCTCTACCCAGCTTCAGCTCAGAGCCTGTGGCTGGCATGTTGCTGCTGTCCCCTGGCCTGAGAGTGGGCCAGGGGCCTCAGGTCCTCTCACTTAGGCCCCTGTAAGGATGTTTGGATTTCCTCCCAGCATGGTGACTCTTGGGTTCCAAGAGTGAGTCCCCAGACTGCAAGACCAAAGGGCACTGAGTTTTTATGATCAGCCTCAGAAATTCCATAGTGTCACATCACACTTGGTGGAGGCAGTCACAAAGGCTTTAAGAGGGAGGGGACCTAGATTCTACTCTCGATTGGGAAGAAGTTTTAGAAGAACATGTGAAATGGGAGATATTGCTCTTTGTAAAACACGCCCTGCTGGGCTAACCATTCTGATACCAATAGAAATGTAATGGAAAAGGACAATTAAGCAAATGGGATGACAGGTGGGTGGAGCCCAGGCTCTCCCTGCTGGGGTGGGATGAGCAGAGCAGGAAGCTAGAATGACCTGTTGATAATGCCTTGGAACAGGAGATGTCAACGTGAGCTCCCCTGAAGCCTACGATAGATGCAGATATTTACAAATAGATGTACGTATAGATACATGCATATACACAAGTTAATGTGAACACATTTTTTTTAGTGTTAGTTGAGAGGGGCTAAAAGAAATGACACCCCACTAGCAATAAGCACACTTGCTACCTATGTCTGGTTTCTAACACCATTCTTCGATGAAAGGAACCAAGGCTCCTTGAAGAAATGGCAGATTCTAAGACTCAGGGCAGGAAATAGATGAGTCTGGAACCTCTTAGAGTTCCAAAAAGCAAGAAAGAACTCAAACAAAACGAAACCCTGCATGGACAGGGGTAGGTCAGGGGACACATGAGCCACCAGAAAGATGCCCAATGCCCAGAGCTGGAACCACTTGAGCAGCAAAGTAAATAACCAGAACCCTGGTCTTACCATGAGAAGAAGAGAAAAATCAGACAAATCCCAACACTGGGGCATCTTACAAAATTCCTGACTGTACTGCTCACAGCCAGCAAGGTCAGCCAACCAGGGAAAATGTGGGAAACTGTTGCAGCCAGGTGCAGCCTAAAGAGACACAACAACTAAATGTAACATGGGAACTCGACAGGATCCCGGGACAGGGAAAGGACATTTGGTAAAAACTAAAAAGACCTGAATAAATTATGGAATTTATACAATTAGTGAAGCAATAATGACATATTGTTATTCAGTTAATTACTTCATTATAAAGTTGAATTATATATTATAAATATATAATTATATATTTAGTAATATGTCAATATTGGTTCATTAATTGTAACAAATGTAGAGTACTAAACATTAAGATGTTAATAATAGGGGAAACTGGGTGTTTTTCCTGTACAATCTCAATTTCTCTGTAAATAATAATAAAAAAAGTTTTTAAATACAACCCTCCACACCTAACATACAATCACCCTTCAGTATCTGTGGGAGGCTGAATCCAGGGCCCCCTACGAACACCAAAATCTGCAGCTGCCCTAGTCCCTGACATAAAAGGGCATAGTGTTTGCATATAACCTATGCACATCTTCTTGTATATTTTAAATTATTAATATCTCTAGATTACTTATAACAAACACCTGATGCAATGTAAATGCTATGTATATAGTTGTCATACCGTATTGTTTAGGGAATAATGACAAAGAATAAAATCTGTGCATGTTCAGTACAGACACAACCATTGTGGGCCTAACTAGATTTTTGGTCCATGGCTGGTTGAATGCATGGATGTGGGGCCCGTGATACTAGAAGTTTAATTTTTGCTCATGTAACAGTTCAGTGGGTATCACATGTTGATTTAGGGTGCCAGGCTTCTCCTGTCTGGTAGCTCTGCCATCCCCCACGGCCTCAGAGTCCTCTCCTGGGCCATCCCCAAGGGGGATAAAGAGAAAATGTGGAGGAAAGTGTGGGAAGTTTTCCGGCAGGCCTGGCAGTGGATGGAGAACATACATCACTGCTGCCCACGGCCCACGTCCTGGCCAGAACCTAGTCACGTGTACACGCCCACGTGCAAGGGAGCTGGGAGTTGTCATCGAATCGTGGTCCCAGGAGGGAAAAGTGACCTGCTGGGCAGTGGTGGCCCTTGTGGAAGGCAGGGAAGTGCTCGGCCACGCCCACCAGGGTGGCTGCCGCTAAAGGGCCATGGTTGAAGTTTTGCTCCTATTAGGGACAAGGGGGGGGCGTCAAGAGAGCACCCCTTCCTCTCAAGGTCTACGTCTCCCGCATGGACAGGTGCTGCTGGGTGCACGACCGCTGTTACGGGTCGCTGGAGGACAGAGGCTGCAACATCAGGACACAGACCTACGGATACAGATTCGCATGGGGCCTGGTCACCTGCGGTAAGGCTGGGGCTTCCCCTTCAGGCCATTGGAAGAGCCTGGATCTCCCCTGGCTCTGAGTTCAGCTGCCCTAGAGGTCAGCCAGCCTGTGTCTCAGGGGTGCAGATGTGGGACAAAAGGGGCGGGGAAACTGGAGCTGTATCAGAACTCCAGGGAGGGGCTGAAACATGTGACACCAAGCATGTGCTGGGTGCCAAGTGCTTTGCTTAATTCTCTTGACTTACTCCCCCCAATTCCCTACGGAGTAGACTTAGTCTCCCCCACTTTGCACAAGAGGAAACTGAAGCTCAAAGGCCTGCGGGTGCAAACAGAAGGGTTCCAGCCCGGATCCTCCAAGTTCAAACCTAAGTCTGGGGATGGAATCTGCTGTATGAGAACTGGCTTTCGTTCCTCTAGAGCAGAGCTGTCCCCACCCTCACCCAGGAGTTCCCAAGAGGAGGGACCCTGCTTCCTCCCGGACTGGGAGCTCCCTGAGGGCAGGAGCTTTGTCTCCTGGACTGAAACCTCCCTCTGAGCAGCAGCTGTGCCCCTCCCATCAGACTATCCGTCCCCCCAGTTTAAGAGTTGCACCCCGTTCATCATGCTGAGAGCTCCTCAGAGCAGGAAGCGGAGCGGGGAGTCTGCTCAGACTGAACCAAGTCCAAGTTCACGAAGCCCGTCCTTTCTGGCCTCATTCCGTGCTTGGTGTCGTGTTTGCAGAGGCCGGGCCCTCGTGTGGCGTGCAGCTCTGCGCCTGTGACCGGCAGCTCGTCTACTGCCTGAGGAGGAACCTGCGGAGCTACAACCCTCGCTACCGCTACTTCCCCAACGTCTTCTGCTCCTAGTCACCCGGCACGGGCTCCTGCCAGGCCAAGACTTTGTTCTCTTCTACAATGCAGAGTTCTGACTCGGAGGGATGCCCCGGAGAGGCTCAGGGTCTCAGACCTCATCCTGTCTCGGAGGAGCCCCAGGGCCACACGTCACCCTCTGGAAAGTCCCCAAAAGGTGACTAATAAACACCACACAGGCATTTTTCCTCTGCTGTGAGGTTGCCGGTGCCTCTTTCTGTGCCATTGGGACACTAAACCCAAAGTTGTCTGCGTTGTCTTGGAGACGGGAGGGGAGGTTAGGAAACGGAAGGTTTTGCAGGGTGAGATTCAGGCCTTCTCCTGGACTCATTTCCTTAAACCTTGGGGTCGTCTGGAGCCCAGCGCTGGGACTCGGTCTTCCTCAAGGAGTGGGGGAAGGACAATTGGCAACTGTCCCGCTTCCAGGCCAGGGAGGAGATCCCAGCCTTGGCTTCTCCACATGTGTGGTCTTGGGCCAATCACTGAACCTCTCTGACTCTCAGTGTCTTTCAAAAAGAAACTGTCACTCTCCTTGTGATGTAAAATGAGGCTTCTAAAGCTCACTGTGACGCTGATATGGGAGCTGCTGAGGTTCCAGAACTTCATTGAGGGCATGTTTTTTAAAATAGAGTTCCGCTATGGGGTTTACTTTTAGCCACCATGCCAGGCTAATTTTTCTTTCTTTCTTTCTTTCTTTCTTTCTTTCTTTCTTTCTTTCTTTCTTTCTTTCTTTCTTTCTTTCTTTCTTTCTTTCTTTCTTTCTGCTTGTTGGTAAAACATTGTCCCCTGATACCCTAACAAACAAACAATTCCTCCGAATAGTTCG